CCAAGAACCTGAAATCCTGCAAACTGGAATCTCCAGGGAAAAACAGAGTGTGTGGTCAATCTTTGGAATTAAAAAAAAAAATGGACCAATGTCTTGAATCACAGAGTCTGTTTCATAAAAATGCCTAAGCAATTTTCTAGAAGATAATACAAAGGCAAATTGTTTTTTCAAGAAAAGAAGTGTAATATGTATATGGCTAGTTCAAAAGTAGATCTAAAGGATCCACAATAGTCAGCTCTAAATATAGACAGGGCCAGAAAAAGAAATGCTTAGGACCCATATGAGGAACTAAGTCCTCATGGGCTGATCAAAGAGAATTTCTAAACTCAAAAAAAGCCAAGACTGAGGAAATAGTTCAGAGGTAAAGACACTGCCAAGCCTGATAACCTGAATCCATCACCAGGACTCTCGTACAGGGGAGGATTGACTCCCAATAGTTGTCCTCTGACTTACAGACATACATGATATGCATGTACACACACACAGACACAAATATAATTAAAATAGAATATCAAGGTAGAACAATAGATGGACAATATTAAAAATGAATTTTAAAATATTAGGAAAGAACTAAAAGCTACAGATAGTTGAGTGTGGTGGAGCTCAGCAGAGGGCTTTGGGGAGGACTTCAGGTTTAAATCACAAGACTTTATGTTTTATTTGGTCTGTAAAATTATGCCTGTGAAGACCTTGATAAACATAAAATTAAATTCAAAAAGGAACATACTGGAAAATCACCCTCCATCTTTTTCTTACCCAAACCTGACCCTGGTCTCTTTGCTCCTTCCAGGCATGCTTGCTTGGTGTTTAACTGATATTGGTTGCTTAACTTTTAGGAGACTAACTCCTGTTTGCTCTTTACCTAGATAGAGATGTCACAAAACTCCTTCCCAAAGGGTAGGGACATTGCCATCCGCTTTAAAGGAGAGCAGGTGGGAGGCATCATAACTACAATGGGAACATAATGATCATAACAAAAGCATTTTTACATTTGGCTTACTCTGTGCCTATTTCACTTCTTAGAGTGTCAGTGTCTTTGGGACAGGGTCAACTGACTCAACTCACATAAGCACAAAGACAGTCCAAGGCTCTACACACTGAAGATGCTTGGGCAGGAGTCTCCTTAGTTGGAGAGCCTGAGAAATAATCAGGAGCTATATAATAACAAGAGCAGCTGACTGGGCTGTTCTTGGGATCAGGCACTTGTAATCTCAAACAGGTAAAACTGGAAACAGAAAAAGGGAAAAAAAAAAACTAAGAGAAAAATGCCAAACTCTGCTGTTTCCCCCATAAGGTGGATTTTGGTTCCACTGCGATCACCCATCAGTGAGTTTTACATGCACATTACAAACATGCCTATCCACTTTACCATTCTGAGACATTTAAACATTCAGAGCAGTGGGTGACACTGAGAAGAGTGGGAAATATGCGTGTTCTCCTTGGCAACTACTGTGGCCTCTTGACCATGGTACTAGAGAATGTGGCAGCACAGAAGTTCTGCAGATCGTTGTTGCCAGGTAGACACTATGGATGCATTTGTAACTTTGTCTCCTACCACTCCCCCCATCCACTGACACCCAATGAAAGCTCTACTCGGTGGCACAAATACAATATTCTTTGATTAGTCTAAGATATTTACAGTATTCACATTAAAAATCTCAGTAGAGGAAGGATTTATCAGCATAAGCAATTAGGTGTTTGAGGAGTATTACAGTTCCAATCAGGTTTTATAATCACAGGCTGGTATCTCCAGAGGATCACTGATGTGGAGACCTTGTTCTTGGAAGTGAGATAGACATGAGCCTATAGATCAGAGCTGGATAAAGAAAGTGTGTTGTACCAAAGAATGTTCCATCTTCTTACTGACTCTAATTCTATAGATCCATACAACTTTCAGAAAAATAACTAATGTAACTAAAGTACTTGGAGTGAGATGTGCATCATGATCTCTTGAACATGAACTTCTCTCCAGACTTAAATAATAAACAACATATAAAATAAATGTTAGCACATTTTCAAAAATGCATTGTGATTATATATTTATAGAGGTTTGAATTAAGTTACCTTTTAAAACACTGATACTTAATGTTTAGAAAGTATTTCTCGTTCACTAAATGAGTGATGGGGAGTTAGGTAGTCTTTTAAATGGAAAATTGCACTGGAAGAAACCAACCAACCCTACACATGTTGAATACAAAATTCTGTTCCAATCTAATTCTAAGAGAAAGAAAGTGATACTTGGTAATTAGCAGTCTGGGCAATAGCAAAAGTATCCTATACTGGTTGGCAATGGAAGTAAAAAGAAGAATGAACCAAACCAAAGAATGAACCAAAAAGTATTCCGACAAACAGAAATTGGGAGCTGGAGAAATGCCGTGTGAAGATCTGAGATCAGTGCACAAGAACCCAAGTTAAAAAACCACGTGTGATTGCATGCATCTGTACTTTCAGCATTAGGGACATGGAGACAGGAATATCTTTGGGACTGTCTGGCCAGCCACAGCGCTCTCTCTCTCTCTCTCTCTCTCTCTCTCTCTCTCTCTCTCTCTCTCTCTCTCTCTCTCTCTCACACACACACACACACACACACACACACACACACACACACACTGTACAACCAAAACCAGAATTGGCTGGGTTCTCTGAAAAGGGTGTGTGAGTAGGAAAGCATCAGAAAACTACAGCTGAATGAGTAGAATCAGTCCACAGAGTAAAGCTGTGGGTTAACCCAGAACGCACTCCAGTGATGAGCACAGAGCAGATTCCTTTTGCTATATGTAACTACAGTGGTGCTTTGAGAGCATCACATGGCAGAGAAAGCAAGAAGGCAAAAAGCAAAATGGGAGACAAGAGTGAAGAATGAAATGATGGGGCACCCTGCTGAGGACCACGAAGAAACTCAAGACCAGAGATGTTCTAACCAAGGACCTAAATGATGTAGGTATCCACAGTGCATAGGGAAAGAATGGCCTATTCTTTCATGTGTTTAGCTTTTGCTTACATGTCTCTATGTCTATTTTGACATAACACGTAGAGCACTCAGAAATTATAGCCAGGGTTATTAAGAATGTCAAAATACCTAGATGATGCATCAGACCTTAACAAAAAGGAGGAGGTTTTATTTCAGAGTTTAATCCAAAATTAGAAAAGTTGCTTGAAATAGGTGGCACTCAGTATATGTATAATTAATTCTGAATGAAACATTCAATTGTAACCAAAGATAATTGTCAAAATATACAGCATCAGACCTGTTAGATTCCCTTCATCACTGAGAAAGGATGCAGAACGTGTGTATTCACCGTGCAGGAGATGGTACTCAGAAAAAGAGACAACTTTTTAAAGCAAACTATTTGTAAAAGAAAGAACACAAAATCACTTTGGGTTAGCCAAATCTCAACAGACAGCACGTTTGAGAGGTTGCTCAGGGGTAGAAGACACAGAAGCAGTAATTGCATTCAGCCTGTTGGCCCGGCTCTCCACAACCTCACTTCCCAGGACACTCACACCTTGCACCAAGCTAAGGCAGATCCCTGCACACATTGCTCATGTTCTGTGTCCTGACATCTCTGGCCATCCTGAATTAGCTCAGGGGCAGATGTCCTGTCAAAATGAAGCAAATTAGACTCCCCCAACTTGGAACTATAAAAGATGTCTTGTAAGTCCATCTGTATAATTGAGCACAGATCATAAGCAACTTCAGGAACACATGTGGCATAATATCCATGGAAGGAGACAAGGGGAGCAGGGAGAAGAAAGGAGAATAAGAATATTCCAATTTTGGGGGGGAGAGAGAAATTTCCTTTTATTCAGTTTTACTGCAGCATATTTCTTAAAGTGGCATTTTCTAGGTTTACTTATATATTTCAATGAGTTTTGACAAATGTGGCCATTATATTGTACCAGCTGATCTGAAGCGCTTTTGGTGTCCCTTTCCAGTCTGTCCCCTTCCACAAGGCCCAGTTCCTGAGAACTCCTAATCTTGGCTTTGTTCTTACAATTTTGTGTTTTCCTGACTTTCATATACATGGGATCCCAAATTAATTAAGCAGCTTTTTTAATCTTGCTTCTCTCCCATAGCCCCCCCACCTTTTTTTTTCAGAAAGCCACACAAGAGCAAGAAATTATATTGCATCATATGCGTCCCCTTCCTTCCCCATCTCATGTCCTCCCCTACCCCTCTTGAATTAATGATCTCTCTTTGCTGGGCAGGCAAGATGTCCCCAGTGGTGCTGCAGTGGCACTTCATATTGGGGGTAACCAACAGCTCTCTCCCCAGACTCAAGGCCAGCTTAGTAGGAGGGAACTCAACAAGCCACTGTAAACCGAGCCAAGGACCCATGATTAGGATGTCATAGACCCTGGAGAAGAACTAACACCTGTCATTTTCCTGAATCAACATAGCTTCCAGCTGTACTGCAACTACTCATACTTAAAGTGATCAATTTATTATAAAGTATTACTTCAATGAAAATTAGAAAAAGGCAAAGACCTTTACTCTCATCAGAAAACAATTGGAAAGATAGGTTTTCTATACAGTGAGAGCAGGAATTACCTATTTTATTATATAATGACATTTAAAAATAATTCTAGATGTGTCCTTACAACATCAGAGTACACATCCCTTTCCTGCTAAATATTTTATCAGCCAACTTCCTCTAGAAATTTGGTCCATCATCTAGATATTTGATATTGTACAGATAATTAGGCCAAATTCCCCTTCTTTAGGAAAAATTATCCCTTTTCTCAATTGTTTATCTTTCAATCGTTTAAAAATGCACCCACATCAAGGTAAGAAATTATAACATGCCTCTCTCTGGAACTAGGTCTCCTTCCCTCACAAACGGCAACTGCACAGACAAGACCATCCCAAGCAGGTCAAGCAGCTCTGCTTGGATGACAGGAATGCCACGATGCTGCTGGAGGTACACTCTTTAGAAGCTGCAACCAGAAACAAAGGGGTCACCCGTAGTCACTGCACTGAAAAGGGGTCGGTCTCCTACCTGGCTGACACTGCTCACACCTTCTTCCTTGCCGATGAGGCAGACAGAGGCACTGGCCACTGACGGGGTCACAAATGCTTCCAGGTACTGTCCCCGAGGAGTCACACTCACACACCTGGCACCCTTGAAGGTTGTCCATGGTCAAATTGAACGTGTGAGGCTCACACTGGTCACAGCGCAGACCTGTTACTCCTGGTTTGCAAAGACACTGCCCACTTGACTTGTCACACAACAGAGAGCCACTGACTGTCCCGGTCTTCTCGCAGTTGCAAGGCAAACAGAGGAAGGAACTCTGCTGCAAGCTGAAGTACCCCTCCAGACACTGATCGCACTGTCTCCCTCCAACATTGGACTTACAGACACACTGCCCTGTCTCCGCGTCACACGTGCTCCCAGCCTGGGAGCCAGCCATACTACAGTCACAGGCCTTGCAAGCACTGCCGGCCAACCCGTAGAAGTTTTCTCTGCAAGTGTCACAAGTAAGTCCTTTGGCTTCTCTCTTGCACTCACACTGCCCAGAAAGTGGATTGCAGAGTTGGTTCACTGAGCCATGGAGGTTACACTGGCAGGGCTCACATCCATCATCATTAAAACTCTGGAGAAATTTAAATCCAAAATTGCAGCGATTGCATCTAAGCCCTGCAAACAAAACACATTTGAAGGGTGAGAGTTAGGATAACCCCGGGGAAAATGGCTGAAGTTTAACATTTAGCAGAGATCCCAAACATAGAGAGTGCCACTCTGGGACGGTCATTTACGAAACACACCATGACAATACTAAGTTAGCCCTCACATGTGGCTTGCAAGCAGTGTGCTTTGAGGAATATCACTGCTAATCAATGCAACATAAAACGCAGAAGGTACACATTACTTCTGTTGCATGCATGGGGACTCTTTCCTACTTCCATAAATATCAAAACTACTTTAGTAAAATAGGCTTTGGAGTGTAAACACGCACATGGCACCTGAGTCACTTTTCAAAGACTCACAGTTGCCTGAGGGGAACTAGTAAGATGTTTCTAGGAGGGTAAGCAAAGTATGAAACACCAGCTAGACAGAAGAAACGGGTTCTGTAATTCAGTTCTCTATCACCATGGCCGGAGTTACAGCGGCAAACTGTACTAAAGCGTATGCGTAAAAGCTGGTAAGAGAATCAAGCTTAATATTTTTCACTACAAATAACCTCAAACAATCCTCTCACAAATTGTCCACATACCAAAACTCCATGGTGTACTGAATGCACACTGAGTGTATTCCATGTATACTGAGTTTTTATTTGTTACTATACCTTTAAAACCTGGGGGAGCAGAAAAAGTAAACCTTTGTCTGATAACTGTCTTTGTGACAGGCACATGCACACTTACTTTCAGCTCTTACAAAATTAAATGCCTGACATAACTACAACTTTTCCAGAGCAATTTTTATTTTGATCCTTTGTATACTCTATATTTAATCATTTTCAATTAATATGAATTATGCTTGCCTTGGCTCATAAGGCAAGCTCACTGCTTGTCAAATCATGTGATTCAAAACACACCTGTTTAGGCATGAAGCAAACTCAGATCTTTATGTTATTTCTCTTTAGAGGGGCACGTACATACATTTTACAAATGGAGAAAAATGTTTTGTCACCTAAACTTAAACCTCTGACGACTTAGGTTAGTCTCAACAAGGACATTGCCAAGAAAAGGAATTTAAAGAAATCAACAGTGATGTTTAGATGCAAACCCGTTCCCTTTGAGAGACTGTTTATATATCCGTGAATGTAAATACCTAACTGCATGGCATTGAATCAATTGAGACATCTATTTCAAACTACAATTGTATAATTGTAATAAAAAATTAGTCCTAAACCAAGAGTCAAATACATACTCAGGCACTGATATGGAGAAAAGCAGCCCTAAGCTGGAAGAAAATGCATAATTTGTATGTATATGGACAAAAATTCATTCAAACTCCAATAGAAGGCAAGTTCTTTAACAATGATGAATGGCTCACCTAAGGCATATCATTTAATTTCAATAAGGAAAATAAAAAAGGACCACGATTGCTGCAGATTTTAAAAATAACTGTATTGTTAACAAGAATTATGACTCATTTTGAACTATTAAAATAGGTCTACATGGATTCATATCAGATCAGTTTTAAAAATATGCACAGTACTTATTTGAATATGCCATACATATTCCTGACAGGTAATCTATCCCTAACGATACTCACGGAGGCCTACAGGGCATCACACTTGGAGCTAACAAGTGCGGGCGACTTAGCACACTTGGCATTTAATTCACATTCTTCTCCCTTTTTATTCTAGATGAATGACCTACTTTAATAAAATTATTGGTGGTAATGTATTTTACTGGTGATAGAATCATTAGTAAGATTTAACAGTTTTGTTAACTCAAACAGTTTGCCTTCTGAAATGTATACAACACACTCTCATGTTTTCAGGGTTTTTGTGTGTTCCTGTTAACGAGGCAATCTTCAATGAGGATGGTTGCTAATCCTATTAGGAAAATATATATTCATGTCAAGTTCCTGTTTTTATTAAAAGTATTTCACTTGCAGGGATTACTCTAGAAATCATTATTTATAATATTGCTAAAGCATGGATTTAATCTTCACAAAATACATATTTATATTTTCCTATGGGACACTACTTGCAGCAGCCGACGAACTGAGTAGATGACAGTAGGAAATGGCAGAGGTCAGGATGAGTTTTAGGTGATTAAAGTGTCCTTCTCAAGCTGTAGGCTCTAACTACCACAGGAAAGGTGTTCCTGAAATCGAGAAGCCCCACTGCATTATGTACAAAGGCCTGGGTTTAACATGTGTTTCTATATCTTGAATTTAAAATGTCTCATACCCAAGAACAAAGAAAGAGACATGGAATGAATTCTACATGTCACCCCTCCGTAAGTCAGCCAGATTTTCTTTCTAAGTTAGTGTTTGTGTACTTTCCATAAATAAAGGTGGGGATAATGTTACACACTTTTATCTAACCTTTCTTTAAACCAGAGGGAGCTTATGTGATGTCATCAGAGCTGTCCATCATCTTTTAATTAGATTAATTAAAATGTTTGTATACCAGAGCTGTGGAGTTTTGTATATATAGGAATGAACAAAATAGATTGGATTATATAACATAAATATATACATAATTCAGAATTACATGTAAGAATGTGTGTGTGTGTGTGTGTGTGTGTGTGTGTGTGTGTGTGTGTTGTAGATATCACTGCTAGGCACATTTATTATTTTGAAGTTCATGTCAGTGTCAGTAAAACCACACAGGACTTGGTGTCTTGGGTGACAATAGAAATTCCAAGGTCTTTTTTAAACTTCCTACAAGAACCAGGGCATGCTCAGTTAAAATACAGGGTGCACTTCATCAGAAAACTTTCCGTTCATAATATTCTCATACATCAAAATTTCAAAGTGCATTATGTACATAGTGCATTTTGGGCACTTGATAAATTTTGTCCTTATGTGGCGGTGGTTCCCCTCAAAAATGCTGGATGTAATAAATTGCTATAATCAAATCTAATTTCTGAAAAATACCTGTGGGAGTAACAAACAAAAAAGCATGTCTTGTATAAAAAAATGATAAATAACACCAAAGCTCGCTGTTTATTATAATCAGCTTGGTACAGAATTACAAAATTAAAATTATGTGACCCTTTATAAGTAACTCTAGCAATAAACATGATGTGTGGAATTATATTGACTTGCTTTGCATTTCACAGGGACAGTTCAAAGAAGTATAACAGAAAAAATGGAAAGATTTATCACAAAGTACCCTTTAGCACAGAATGTTCTGAAAAAAAATCCATTTATTTTAGTCTATTAAAACTAGCAGGGAAATGATTTGCTTAGAACTCATTAAGTGTAAAACATTTTGAAAAAGTGCTAATTTTCTAAAAGAAACATCTATGCAGCAGGCAAATTATATTTTTCTATGACTTATTAGTTGAGTCTGTGTAACTAATGCATCTACCGAATTAAAAAAAAAAAAACTTCTAAAGGGTTGATTAAACAGAGCTTCAAACTACAGTTTGATACAATTATTAATTTAGTCATTTTTAGACAGTTAATTTCATACAAAATATTTTTCCCCAGACTTGAGCAAGAAAATCTGCTTTACCCTTCAGTTAAGAAATCAAATAGAGGCTTTTCTTCTTCCCAGATGGAAATAGAGATGTGACTGTAAACTTGTGCATTACACGTACCAATAACGTTCGCTTTACACAAGCACTGGCCTGAATTTTGGTGACAGGTAATGTCTCCATCCACAGTCCCAGAGGGATTGCAGTTACAGGGGCGGCAGCCATCAGGATCCGACGCCTGCAGGTCATAGAATCCATCCAGGCACTGAAGGCATTGTCTGCCAGACACATGTCTCTTACAATCACACTGGCCTCCAATCTACAGGAGATACAACATTTTGTAGAATGATGAACACATCTATTTTTAGATAATTTGCTCATTAGATACAAGACAGGGAGGGAAGGGTAAAAAAAAATCTTGAAATGTTAAACAGGCAAGAAGGTGATCAGGCTGTGCCCCTCATGACAGAAAACATGGGAAGCTTCAGCAGGAAGACAATCTCGAAGGGAATGAAAATAGACCCATGGAAGTCAGTCCTATATGACTAAAAGGGAAATGGGGAATTAAGCATTTAAGCACTATATAAAGAAGTCAGAATATAGACATGCAAGTCCTGAAAATAGAAGAGAGCCAGCAGCTAATTTAATCTTCTCAACTCCAGCCCTTGGTTTCACCCTTTTCATTTACTGTCTAGTTGCTCCAAATCCGTTTTGAGCATTTGAGTGTTTAAATTAAGAAAAAAAAATCTCACCATGATGAGACTGTCCCATTAAGTGTGAATGTTATTCAAGTCCTTTACAGATAAGAGCACAGCCTTGAAAACTCACCCTGATATGCATCTTTACCCACTCCTCTTTGAGGAATACTTCAAATGTTTTCTCACTTATTTGTGGCATCATTTCACAGGAAGTATGTCATAGATAGCTAGTATTATTGTCAGCTATGCATGTGGTTTCAAATATCTGAGAAAGGGCTTTCAGATTAAAGATTTAAAAGAATCATTGTTGCCTCATCTTTCCTCTTCTGAGAGAAAGAGGTCCTATTGGAATCATTTAAAAATAAAACAAGACAACCAATGTGCAAATACCTAAGTTGTAAAAATTCTAGTGTTAGCTAGAGTTGTGGGTGATAGACTTCAATATCCAAGACAGTGAACATAGAAATATGGGCAGGTATTTATAGAATTCTATCTTGTATCTGGCTGTACTTCGCACTTCCCTGCTTACCTAGCCTCATAGAAACTATGAAATTGGCTAATAGAAGGATATGACTTTTATTTCAAAAATAACTGTCATTTATTGGTATGCATGTATTGCACCTAACTATGAAATGCAAAGGTCCCCCAGTTACCTAGGTTGCCTACTGCCACCATTTCAAGGATATCACTCAGTAATTCAGGCCCAACTTCTTGCTGGTGTTTAACATGTATGAATCTTCCTCTCCAAATAGGCAGCAAGTTCCCCAGAAGCCTGGGCACATGCCTAGTGTCTGTCAAGTAATCATAGACATTCCCACGCATCAAGAGTATCCATTTAGAGACCAAGAGCAACAGAGAGTGACAAAGGAAGAAATAATCAATGCCTTTTAGGTCAAAACTTCATCTACTGTAAATTTTGTAAAGTGCTTGATTTAAATGTCTTATCAGTTTCGATTAGAGTGTAAGCCATGGCGAGGTCTTCAGGAGTGTGTGAAGACCTGGGCTCTACATTTTACATGTTCACTATTGTGTGCTTTCTTTCTTCTTCTGCTCTACCCACAAATCATGTCTGCTTTTATCTTCACACATGACTATCATCACTTTTGTACACAATAGTCCCCCAAATCTAAATTACTGCCTGGAGTTTCATCAAAGTATTTTGTCACCCAAAACAATGCTCCCCATGTGAGCCACTCTGGCACAAATTTTTAAGATAATTGCTTTCATCTCACTGATAAAAAATGTTTATATAATATACACAAATTAAAATTCTACCAAATTGGCCATATCTTAAAATGTAGTTTGAAAGAAAATGGCATAAGGCTTTATAATTATATAAAATCATCAACTTGACTCAGTTACTTCAAAATTAGCTGAAAATATAGTTTATTCTAAGCATTTCATTTGCAGATACATTTTAGCAGCGAGGTACCATAAATCCACTTACTATCTCAGATTAATCCTTCCCATTTATATATTAAAAGAAGATCCTGTCTTCCCTTTTAAAATATACTTCTAAGCCAAGCATGCTTGTGGTTCATACCTGGAATCCCAGCATTTAAAAAACTAAATTAGAATTGTCACAAATTAGGAGTCAGGTTAATTGATATAACAAATTGGAAGGCAGCCAAGCTATAGGGAACAATCCTGACTTAGGCCAACACTTTCAAACTGATACAGTTTCCATGATGTTTGGGGAAAATATACTCTTGGGTTCACCTATTGATTCTCTTTGGCCATTATGTTAACAAGCATGCTCTATAGTGCTATGTGAACATGTATAAACCTGGGAACTCACATCCTCATGCTGGACTTGAGGTTCTGTGTGTGCCTTGTGAACAAGCTCCTGGGAAGAAATTGGTGGACATGTGATGAGAAGTGAAATGACCACATTATCTCCATTCCTATCACTCCAGGAAACAGTCTGTTTGACAGTCACCAGATATAAGAGTCCCTCCTAGGTCATCCAACTACATAGACAATTGAGAGATCTCAATCAGGTTTGGCCAAGCCAGTTTCTCAGGTCCAGTTCTGAGGCAAACAATAGATTCAAACGTTTGAATGTCTTTTCTTTAGATTTATTTTATTTTTAATTATCTGCATGTCTGTGTGTCTATATATTGAAATGTGCATCTGAGTACAGATGTCCACAGAGGCAGGAGCCATTAGATCTCTCTGGCTTTAGAGTTACTGGAGGTTATGAGTCATCATACATAAGTGCTGGGAACTGAATTTGAGTCCTTTGAAAGATCAGTAAGCAGTCTTAACTACTGAGCCATCTCTCCAGCCAAAGTTTTAGTACCTTAGGCAGCAAAAGTTATCACATATAACACTGCTGATCACATTTTATTTCCTTGTCAAACAGGTTGAGAGAAAAACACTTTAATCACTACAATCATGTGGCCAACTATTATTGAGATTCCTAGTACCAGGAAAAAAGAAAAACAAATAAAATGATACAACAAATAACAAGAACAAAAACATATCCTTATATTTCAGGCTATGGTCATTTCTCTGCTCTTCAAGGCTTAAAACACTGTCTAGATCAGTTTGATTCTGAACACTTCTAGCCACATTAACCAAAGAAAAATAATACCTACTCACAAGCGCTGGTTCAAAATGGAAACAGCTTTCATAAGCTTGGCTTGGGTCACATTCTTTCGAGGTCTACAAGATGTGGGCTCTTTCTTTGAAATGCTCTCTAGAAGGCATTTTTGGACTGTTGTGATAAGTTTAGTTGATATTTCTCCCTTTACATTTTTTCGAAGCAGAAAAAAGTGTTAGATTGTTCAATTGGTTTGAACTCAAGATCCTCCAAATTCAGCCTTCCAAAGGCTGGGACTGCAGGTCTGAACCATTGTCTCTCGCTCCTGATTTCCATTTTGATTGTTCTGTGATCTCTGGATTATTTATAAGTAGATCAGTTTCTAAATATTTAGGCATGTTTCTTAATATCTTGCTTCTTTATAATTTAACTGGTCAGTTAACACTCTTGCTATGATTCTAATAATTTACAGTCTACTGCGGTGTTTTACGGCCCAGAATTTAGTCCATTTTGGTAGATGGTTTCCATGGACTTCAAAAACATGATGCAACACTCAGTTGTTGTTGGACTGAGTTCTCAGTCAATGCCAATGAGGTCAGCTTTGTTGATAATGTTGCTGTAATCTATATGCTTACTGATTTTCTGTCCATTTGTTTTTCTTGGTTATTGAAGACAAGGGGTATTGATGTGTTTGCATGAAATTGGGTTTTTTTTCTATTTTTTCCATTCTGTTCTATTGATGTTTGTTTTCTATATATAGTTACTTGGTTTGGCACACAAATGTTAAGAGTTGGTAGGACATGTCATTAAAATGAAAACAATTCTCTTTCCAATATATAATTGCTTTAAGCATCCCCCATAAAATTGTTGCAGTAAAATCTGTTTTCTGATATTAATAAAGGAACTTCAGCTTTCCTCCGATTCTTGTTGGCAAGCTATATTTTCCCACAGCTTACGTTTAGCCTATGTGTTCAGTCTGTTTGAACTATATTTCCTATATGCCGCATATGCTCAGTTTGTAATATCTCATTTTCACATGTTGTTCCAATTTTTCACTTATAAGTGGAGCATTAGAATGTGGAACTTTCACAAGGGTATTGCTATGGCCTAAATCTCACCACAACCTTCTTCCTATTCACCTAGTCCTCCTGGACTTCTGTTTTTTCTCAATTTTTTTTATCATAGTAATTTATTGAATCCATTTGATGTCCACAATGGCTTATTAAATGTAAGTTTTATTTTATGATTTGATATTTTCTTGTACATATTTAAACAGTCCACCTACAAGGAGAATTAACTTCACACATGGGATAAAAACCTTATAACCCTTCCCTTTCTCCCTTGTTACCATTGCCATATGCTTTTCCACGTTGCAAACTCTTTAAGGTGGTGTTGATTTTGTTTAAACTCTCCATTCCCCCTTAGAGAGAGTTAAAGTACAGGAAATGCACATTTAGTTGTTACCATTTTTGGAGCACCTTCTGTCTCTATATGGATCCATGTAACATGGAGTATTTTACTTCCTCTGAAGTACTTTTACAAAATGTTTTGTATGGTGCAGTTTTGCTTGCAATGGACTGTAACTCTATATACTGTACAACTGAACTTCATCTCGCCCTCAGAAAGATGCTGTCATGGACACGCGATTAAGCTGTGCCATTTTTTTCTGCATTTTCTGTATTTCTCCATGTGGTGATATTTTATTTGTGCACCCCAATAAGGCTTATCTAGTAGGGATCAAAGGGAAAAAAAACAGCCACTATATTAAACATAGAGGTCAGGCAATGGTAGCACACGTCGTTAATCCTAGCATTTGGGAGGTAGCAATCCATCTAGATCTCTGTGAGTTCAAGGCCACACTGGGAACAGAGCCGGTGTGGTGGTACATGCCTTTAATCCCAGTGCTACTTAACCACAGAGATCTGTACAGACAGACAGGAAGTGATAGAGCTGGGTGGAAAGAGGAAGTGTGTAGTTGGGCAGAGAGAGGAAGTAAGATGGCAGGGCACAGAAAGGTATATTGGTGTAAGCATACAGGAAGTACCTCTCTCTTGGGCTGAGGATTTCCTAGAGGTA